CCAACTGCAGACATGATTGTTACTTCTACGTCGTGATAGAGAACATTACTCTGGCCCAAGCTGCTTAAAGGGAAACTAGATTCTTGTCCAAAGCAAATAAACTTCTTCTTAAGAGCAAAAATTTGGAGAAAGAATGACTTGGGCTTGAATCCTACCTCTACATTTTCGGCAATTATTGTAACCTCCCTGAACCCTAGTTCCTCATCCTAACGTGGAAATAAAAATAACCTAAATAATTAGCTCACTAAATAACTGACGTCTTCTTCCCCCATCCCTGCCTTGGTCAAGAATTGACTCACTCAAAACTGATTCTCAAATACCTTCTCCTTTGCTTTCCCCTAACATAGAGGCTAGAGAGCTAAATTTTCAATTTTTCTAGCTGCAATCTGGCCACCAGTGGTGATGTGACACAGTTCTGAGCAATGGTATATGAGTTTATGTCTGATGGGAAGAGTTTCCATTAGGTAGAAGGCCTTTAGCTCTCCTATTTCTTCTTGCTTCAAAGTAGGCGCGATGGCTGGAGGTACAGCAGATAACCAGCTACCATGAGGATTGTGGGGCAAGAGGACAGAAAGAGCTTGGTCCCTGACAACATAATAGAATAGATGTTCAAAAGTACTAGGCAGGCAAAAACTTTCATTCAGAAAAACTTTTGTCCTCCTTGATGAGAAATTAGTTTTCCTCCTATTAGCATAACATTGAACCCATTTCTTATAAACTAATAATCTGATTGGCTTTGCTGAGAGAAATGTACTTGCTCACTGCCTTGAGTTACATTTTAGAATGATTGAATCCTGGAAATACTTTAACTACTTGACAGTTAGTACTCAGACCCAAGTCTTCCTGATTCTGATGTCCATGTTACTAATCACTGACTCATACGCTGCCCCAATGCCAGGTACCCAGCAAAATCTTAAGGAAAATAAGATTGTTGATGGACTGATGAATTAAATAGGTTCTCTCTATTTTTACATTAAAAGGTCTCGTCTTTCGACACAATCTCATGCTGACACTGAAATCAAAGGTTTCCATTAGCTGATTCTTCTCTCTGTAGAAGTGAGAACTGAGCTGCGAGACAGCTGAAATAAATTTTGTGCAGCGTTGGCCTTGAAGGGACTGATGAAAGGCACGTACTGAAGTTCCCCGGCTGGGCCCCACGGGATGCACACTTGTGGCCTTAGAGGCATGGCACAGGGGAACCACTGAGAGAAAACTGCCAACCGCGCTGCAGCAAGAATGTGCTTCCACCTCAGATGGCCTTGCCTGGCTCTATAATCGTAGCCCTTTTAAGGGATCATCGCAGAGACAGCAAATTCCACATTAATCCACTTTTTAAGAACAGAAGAGATGTTGTTTGATATTAGCCAATAAGCTGTGGTGACTCAAAAGTGGGTCACAGATATTGTCTTTTGCCCAGGTTGAAGGCCAAAAACATACTGGGCATTGTGTCCAAAATGGGATTAAACGAGTCCAGCTCCAGGCGGCTTACAACCTCGATTATGTGGCTTAGTGAAGCAGTGTGGTTATTGGAAACAGAATCTAGATTTCCTCCTACTTAGACAAATCCTGAAGTGTTTGTTTCAACACAAGATGCTTGGGAGAGCCATATATTTCCTTTTAAATGCTCTTCCAATAACATAATGAAGAAAACCGCAATTAGGCATTAATGATAGTAAATTTTAATCAGGAAAAGAGTATATGCTCATGGTTAAAATTTTCAAATAGTGTTGAAAGGTGGAAAACAAAAAGTAAAAATCCCCTAGTCTCAGGGTCCAACCCCTTAGAGGTTATTGTTGTTAACATTTTCTTGAGTATTTTTGCAGAAATCTTCTATAAATGACATATTACTGTGGGCTGGATTGTACCCACTGAAAAAGATATCTTGAAGTACCCCAAAGCCTTAGAATGTGACCTTATTTGAAAATAGGGTCTTTGCAGAGATAATCAAGTTAAAATGAAGTCAATAGGGTGGGCCCTAATCCAATATGACGGATGTCCTTATAACAAGGGGAAATTTGAACCCAGAGACAGACACACTCAGGGAGAATACCATGTGACAATGTAAGGCAGAGATTGGGGTGATGCTTCTACAAGCCAAGGAACATCAAAGGTTGCCAGCAAACCACCAGAAACTAGGAGAGAGGCATGGAGCAGTTTTTCCCTCACAGCCCTCAGGATGAACCAATCCCGTAAAAACTTTGATTTTGTGTTTCTAGCTTCCGGAACTATGAGACAATAAATTTCTGTTATGTAAGTCACCCAGTTTGTAGTATGTTATTCGAGCAGCCCTAGCAAACTATACAACTATAGAAATTAATATCGATATAGATATGGGTATATACATAATATTGACTTACTTGTGATTTCATTTCCTTGTGAATCACAACTCATTCTGGTCCCTCTTTTCATCTGTCTGGTTTTCAAGAACTCTATGTCTGATTTTTTTCATGGGGTAATGACAGGTGAGATTTCAATTCCCGTATCCTCACCTCTTCCCCACGTAGGAGCATATGAATCTCGGGCTCTGAATATACGGCCACTATTTTGTAGTTTTTCATAAAATGCTGGATGTCCAGTAGATGCCAAGTACTATACAATATTTTGGAGGATGCAGAAATAAGTAAAATAAGGAGATAATGTGCAGCTCTAATTGAAGTTAAAGAGACCCCAGGAAAAGAACACACCCAGGATGAAATACTATATTCATGATCTAAAGTACCTGATGCCTCTTCTTAAGGCAACATACTAGATGAAGAAGAGTAAGAAGACGTAAATATCAATCCATTAGAGTTAGGTGAAATTATCCATTGAGATCTTCAGTTTCTCTTTTCTCTGATTCTGTATGCAACAACCTTTTGAAGTTTCTCATTTAGACTTTCCCATTGGAGAGGCTTGCCCAATGACGCCATATGATAGATTTGCTTACCACTGTACCCACCATGCTACGTTCAGTGTCTGGCTCTCCCAGTGTGTACTCATTAAATATTTGTTGAATTGACTAAATATTATACATAGTTAATAAATAATGTTGTGTGCCTACTGTGAGTCAGAAATTGGGCTAAGCACTTTTGTATGCTAAAAGTTAAGATTTCTCATAGTAAATTAACGATTTGACACCCTGATTAATAAGTTACTGATTTAACCCAAGTTAAATGCGTTAAAACCCTGAGAATCTCATCATCTTATCACTCTAGATAAAATCTAGTTCCTAAATTTGTAAACCCAAGGCCTAGACACTTCTCTAAGTCTTTACGCACTTTGAAAAGCCCTATCGAGCAGTTTTTCAAACTCTCTGTATATTCATCATTCATTTGTACAGTCAGCTAGTCATCCAGTTAGTTCCTCAAGTGTTCCTTCATTTGATTTTCCTTTCATGCTTTTATCAGACAATGACCACCTATACCTGTGATGTATCAAGAACTATGCTTGGTACTGAGTGAGAATTCAAAGATATTAAGATGATCTGGTCCTGCAGGAGTAATGCACAATATCCTCTTTAAGAGGATTGCTAGGAGTTCCACCCCTGGGCTGTTTTGAAGGTGACTTACAATTCTGAGGGCCTCTTCCTCCCCACCCAGCTGGTTTCCAGACCAAGGGAAGCCAATGCAGGAACCTCGGTGTCTGATCCCTACCTGTATTCTTCCCTCTTTCCAAGCCAAATTCCAGGCCTTGGAATCCAAGACTCAGGGTAATGGGAGAGATTCAGGAACTCATTCAATTACAGAGAATTTTAATGAGGAATTCAGGGCCGGAAGTTAATTAATTTTTTTCAGTCATGAAAGGGAAACTGTTTTGGTAGCTATTTTGAGGCAAACTGTCATCCTCTGTTGTGCTGCAGTATTTTCAGAAGCTGTTTAAGCCTATATGTCTCCTATCATAATTATCAAGATTTCAGATAAGCACTGAGCTGCTCTATGACAAAAATGACCTTGTGGTTGTGACCCCCATCCACACAAATGACCTCACTGACTTGAAGAGAGATTGGAGCCAGCCTACACTCATATATTTGATATGATTTTTTTAGGAAAAGCCCAAGTAAAATACCTCTGACTGAAATGGACCTAACCCATGCAGCTTAGTTAATTTCAGGGTTTTCAGGACTGAGGTGAAGCCCAATGGAGCCTTTAAAAAATTCAGCAGTTGGCAGAACATTGATCATTTAAAATGCATACCTTACACTTACATTAAACTAAATTTATTGATTGCTTATTACATGTACTAGATGCTTTCATAGCCGTTAGCTCAGTTACTTCTCAAACCACTTCACAAACCAACGCGTTGAAATAATTTTTCTTTTTGGCTGAGGAAGATTAGCCCTGAGCTAATATCTGTGCCAATCCTCCTCCACTTTATACGTGGTTCGCTGCCACAGCATGGCTGACGAGTTGTGTAGATCCAGCCCCGGGATCTGAACCTGTGAGCCTGGGCCGTCAAAATGGAGCACACCAAACCCAACCAACACGTCATGGGACCAACTCCACCATGTTTATAAATGAGAAACTAGCAGTTCAGAAAGCTTAAGGAACTGGCTCAAGTTCAGAAAGCTATTACATATTGGAACTGTAGGGGAGGAAGACATTTCCTCTACCCTCTTTGGGTTCGTCTGGCCGGAGAATGAATTAAATTCACATGAGACAGAATAGCAGGAGAAAATTAAACAAAGCTTTATAACATGTATACATGGGAGAGGCTTGGGCAAGCTGAGCAACTCACCAAAATGGCTGAAGCCCCCACTTAAATATCATATCCAGCTAAAGACAAAGGAGGATGTTGCGGGTGGGGGGAGTCAGTTACAGGAGGTTACCAGAAACAGGAATAAGATTATTATGCAGATTTAAGTCCTTGCCTTTGGTATTGATTAAGAGTTTCTAGAGAGAAGGTCATCCCCTTTCTTCTTCCTGGTACAGAGATGGAGGTACCTTTACAGATAGAGATTTCTTTTACATTGTAAATGTCTCTTAAGAAAGGGCAAGCAAGTTCCACCCCTCAGAGCCTCCTTCCCTGTCCCAGTTTATCAAAAGCAACCAGCCCAATAATTCTCATGCCAAAGAGACATCTTGGCGTGGCCAAGACCAGTTCCCCACAGAACCATGTCTAAATATCATAAATATGGTTTCTGCTTTTTATTACCAGTGAAGACAATGCTCTTCAAGTTTCTTTGCTCCTCTTCCAGTCTCTCATTCCTTCTTCCCTCTCGGCATTCTTCCTTCCTTTCACCTTTCTTGTGTCCTTTCTCTCAATGACCTTCTTCCATTCTTTCTTTCTTGAGTGTCTACCGTGTGTCAGGCCCTGTCTTGGGACTTGGAGATGCAGAGGTGAGCAGGGGATATAGCCCCTGGTGAGAAGCAGAGAGGAGACCCAAGGAAAGATAGTTACTAAGAAATAGGCTATATGAGCCTGCCACCCAGCAGAAAGGAAATTTGGAGCAAGAAATAAAATTGCTCGGTGAAATCACTCATGCTTTTAAGGCTACTTACAGAGTCTACCTAGAGTTAGATGAGGGCTGAGAACAGGGGCCTGGGAAACACTGGCTTTCCCTAGGATTTGTGGAAATTGAGGGGCCTCTGACCAATTCAGAGGAAGAAATAGCCTCAGAAACAAGAAGCAAACTGGAAGCTGTTTGTATCATTGAAAGCATCATGAAATTCAGCAAGGTTAAATAACGTGACTGAACTTCCGTGACTGGAGAGTGGAAGAGTCATATGTAAATATCATTATTAGGAAAAACATTATTCCCCATTCATGTTCCCAACGGAGGACAGCATTAGTGTCTTTCTTTCTGTCTCTTAGGCACTCCACTCAGGGACAGAGGGGTGACATTTTATTGTTGGTTATGGAAGAGAAACTGGACATTGGATAGCTCTCTTGTCTTTGGGATCTGCCTGCCTGAAAAAAAAATCACAATTTCCTATCTCCTTTGGGCTGTGATGTAATTTTAGCAGGAAAGACCCTGTCCTGGAGGGAGGAGGTCTGCGGTAGACCAGAGCTGCCTGTGACTGGGTCTGCCCAATTCCGAGGTTTAGTATAAGGAACCCAAAGTAGCTGCACACCTAAGCTGCATTTCTCTATTAGCTTTATCAGTATTAAATCTGACAATGGTCCTTCATTTACCTGACTCTTCTCTGACTCTTTCTCAGTGGATTCTCACTTTGCATGAGACAGAAGGGTGATACTATTTGGGGTCCCTTCAACTTCAACAGTCGTAAAAAGTTCCCTCCTATCAACAAGCAACAAGGAACATCTTTCAAACATAGACAGATATCAAAATGGAAAACAACTTATTTGTCTTTGGTGGAAAGTAAAAATGATGACTGCATAAATATAATTTGAGAAGCCATGGCTTCTCAGCTGGTGGCAAGGTCTGAAGTTCCCTCCTTCTATATTTCAAAGGTACTATGTTAGTACTTCTCTTTTCTTCATGGACAATTTTATATTCATATGGGAGCAAATGCTTGGAGAAATGGGATGGCAATAGCCTTCAAAATAACCCAAAAAGCTTATTTAGACTTTTCACATGTGAGGGACTGTTCGCTTTACATATACTAACTCATGCAATCCTCATGACAGTTCCATTTCATAGATGAGAGAACTGTGACATAGGGAGATTGTGACTCACCTGAGGTCATGGGGTTCTGGGACTGGCACAACCTTAGCTGCTGTACCATCGACATCCACGCTGTTAACAACTATACTTTCTGTCCCTTCTCTGCTGTTCCCATTTTACCTTCTTCACCATCTTCTTTAAGGTAGGACACCGTAGCAATGCTTCTCCTAAATAATTGCCATGAAACAGAAACTTGAGCAGCCAAACGGCCTCTGTTTTAACCTATCTCTAAGTCACTTGGCTTAAGATATATGTGGCACTTAAGAAAGGTACAGGGGTGCCTGTGATCATGAGGAGAAGAGGTGAAGAAGAGCATCCATTCTGTGCCAGGTACTGGTCCAGGGCCTTTCTATGTTTGTGCGGGTTTCCCATGGATGAAGCAACTCATCCAGGTGTAGGAGACAGTGATGGGCTTGCAAGAGTGAGAAGGATGGTCTTTCTCTATGTTCAGGGACCCAGGGGACTTAAAAAGTCGTGAGAGAGAATGCTCTGTCATGGTGTGCTATTCAGTTTGGAAACACTCTCCAACTCAGCCATGCTAGATTGGGGGTGTGCTTTGGGAAAGTGGCTGACAGTGCGTGTCAGCGAAAGCAGCTGGGTAACCTAAAAGTCTGTACTGTGGGAACTGACCCAAGAGGTGGGATAAGCAGATGAAACTTGTATCATATACTAGTCCTCCAGGGGAGAGAGACTTCTGTATTCACAGAGGTTCTTTCTGCACCCCTGGCACGTGCCTGCTGACCACAGCAGCTGCATTAAGCTGAGCCCCTCCTTGGCCTCATGGTTTGGTGGTTGAAGACATGTGGCAGCACAGTGGGATGCTTGGGTAGTGAATCTGACAAGGAGGCCAGATGGCTTTCACCCTGAGACAGTGACAGCTGCAGCCACATTGAAAGTATGCAGCCACCAGTGGGACTGAGCAGCTCTTCTCTCTGCAAATCCAGGGCTAAATATCTGGATTGAGGAAGGGCCACACAGGAGTGGAAACCTGGAGGACCAAGAACTTCTTATGAAGAAAAGATGAGGGCTGGGGCTGGAGTGATTAATTTAATTTAAATATTCCAATAGCTGGGTTTGAAGCTATTTTATACCCTAAAAGGGTGAAGAAGGAAGTGTACATCTATCATTGCATGAGTCCTTAGAATATTCACCAAAGTGCATATTATTATCTACATTTTGTGGATGAAGCAATTGAAGCTGAAACAGATTAAGTGACTTGCCCAAGGTCGTATGATTGGCAGGTAGGTGGACGCCAGTTTGGCCTGTAAAATGTGTTTGGGTGCTGTAGCACCAAAGCACAAACATACTAGTTTAAAGAGTGAGAGTGCCCAATTTTACCAGCATGAGATATCCACTCCTCTGGGCCAGCCGATAACCAGAAGGAGCAGGTAGCTTGCCAAGGAGATCCTATTATGACTGTGTTTTGTAATAGGCATTATTAGGGCAGAGAAGGATGACCTAAGATGTGGGATGGGATTGGTCCAACGTCTAGAAGCCATTGTTCTCTCCTTATCCTTTTTATTTTATTAAAGATTTTACTTTTCCTTTTTCTCCCCCAAAGCCCATCGGTACATAGTTGTACATTTTTAGTTGTGAGTCCTTCTAGTTGTGGCATGTGGGACACAACCTCAGCATGGCTCAATGAGTGGTGCCATGTCTGCACCTGGGATCTGAACTGGCGAAACCCTGGACCACCGAAGCAGAGTGTGTGAGCTTAATCACTTGGCCCTCGGCCCGCCCTCTTTATCCTTTTTTAAATGATCACGTCAAGCCCAGTCAGGCCATCATGATAGAGTAAACGATCTCTTGCCTTTTAGGCAGCAGCTAGCAGGGACGCTGGCTAGCTGTGTTCCGAGGCTATCTTAAGGTTGTTCCAGGGGCTGCCAGCAGCAGTGGAATTATAGTAGGCACAGTTTCTGAACTCAAAATTGTGACATCCTATAGTCAGTGACTTTTTAAGTGCCTGCCACATCATAAACTCCCTTTTGAGAAAAGTGCACATTACTTATTTTAGTGTTTGCCAACTCACGTGCCTGCAAAAGTCAGGCACGTAAATAAATGAGTGAAGCTAGTTGACATTAGGGAGATTCAGGGACTATGGTGAACTGGAGAGCTCAGGCGCCTTTTAAAGGGGTCAGCCACTACTCAGTCCCTGTTGACTGTAGTTGGTGTTTTCTAATATTCTGGTTTTTCAAGAGAAGCTGGAAATCTGGATTTTTACATGAAATCTCCCTATGTAAAACTGTTGATTGAGCATTATAAAAATAATAATAATGTATGAGCCGATATTGTGCTAATCAAAACAAACATGTCTGTGGCGGCTTCCAGCCTCTTGGTTGCAGTCATCACTGTGCACAGAGGTTTAGGATTAGCACTTCACCCTCAGCACCTCTGTGCCGCCGTCAGCTGATTGGAGAGGAAATGGCCCAGAGCAATGGCAGCCCTCTTTGGGTTCTTCCTGGAAAAGACCTGTGGGAAGCATCCTCTTCAGTGGGAAAGCTGTATTTTGGACGGTGAACGTTCACCTCAATCAGGTCCTCCCTCCTGGGGAATAGGAACAGAAGACAGAGAGTTAAGTCATAACAACAGGAGTAGAAGAAGTAGAGCCCAAGACTCACCAAGGAACCTTAATGGCAAAGCCTTGACCTTGGATGCCTGCTGCTAAGAGGCTGATCACGTGATGGAATGGCTAGAGCTGTTGTGGCATACAGTGGGTTGCTGGAGCTAATGCTGTTTTCTGAATGAACGTCAGGTTTTTCTTTTTCCTTTTATTTTTGAGGAAGATTAGCCCTGAGCTAACATCCGCTACCAATCCTCCTCTTTTTGCTGAGGAAGACTGGCCCTGAGCTAACATCCGTGCCCATTTTCCTCTACTTTATGTGTGGGATGCCTGCCACAGCATGGCTTGACAAGCAGTGTGTAGGTCCGCCCCCGGGATCTGAACTGGCAAACCCCAGCCCTTGAAGCAGAACATGCAAACTTAACTGCTGCACCACCAGGCTGGCCTCTCAGATTTTTCTTCATGTCCTGTTTTATCTCTACAATGTAACCCATTAACCTACGTAAACCTGAATATACCTGGGAATCCTGTAATTTCAGAGATGCTGGGCAATGCAGGAATCTGTGCTCTGATATGCACATTTGTTCATGGTAGAGCATCCCTTCCTCCTCACACTGATGGGATCTGGAGTCCACGTGATCCTGCCCCTCCTGCTGATTGGATAAGCGGGCATACCTTGACAAAGTGGAACCAATCAGATTCTGCACCTGAGACTCTTCTTGTGGGCTGGACATTTCCGGTGAAATTCATTAACATAGTTTACAAGATGGGGATTCTGCTTCCTTTTCTAGCCTCATCACTCACCAATCTCCCTGACACTGTCTCCACTTCAGGCATTCAGGCCTTCTTTCAGGTCCACAAAAGGCTGTGATCTGTACTGCCTCAGGGCCTTTGCATGTGCAATTCTTGTTTCCTGGTGACTAGTTAGCTTATATACAGACTTTCAGATCTCAGTCCAAATGTCACCTCTTCAGGGAGATCTAGTCTTATGCTTCAGATTGTATCAGAGCTTCATTCTCCCTCCCTCCTCATTATGCACTCTTCTGGCACTATACGCTTTCTGGGTCTTCATAACGTTAGTTTAATATGGCCCTTTATTATGGCTTTTCTTCCTGCATCCTTCATCATCACAGAAGTGGTTAAGAGCATTACCTGGGGGTCAGATTTCTTGGGCCCAAATCCTGGTTTTACTATTTAGTAGGTAGGTGATGTTGGACATGTTACTACCTCTCTCAGTCTTAGTTTGGTCACCTATTAAATGAGGATAGTAATATCAACCAGAAGGCTTCCTCCATTCTCTCTTGGGGCAGCCATTGAGTTTGAGTGATCTTCCCATCTTTTTGTGTGCCCTCAATCTATACTTGCAGAAGACTGATGCTTTTCAGAACATCAACTTAGATGTTTTTATTCCTAGTGTTTCTTTCTGGTATTTAGGTAACAAGAAGAAGTTCTGAGCTCATTGTCTCAAGAAAATGATGGCATATCAGAAGGAGAAGTAAAGAATATTTCCTTGATTTTTGTTTTTTAAAAGTCTAGGCATTCAGAGGGAATCTGAGAGGATGTGTGTGAACAGACTATCCTAGAGATTTGGGAGAATGCAAATGAGAAAAGAAAGATAAACAGCCCTACTGAGTTCCTGTAGTTCTGTGTGGCATGGGAACAAAGAATGATCTCAAGAGCTTAGGAACTTAGCCAGGAGAAAGCTTACAGTCAAGAATTGAGATGACATATCCCAAACCTGAGTGGATGAATGATTGACGACCAGGAGGAGGACCTAAGGAGAGAGACAACCTAATCCATGCCTGTGAGGGTAAATAGCAGCCCCCATAAAATGCCCTCATCCTAACAATGCATTAGCACTCTGTAGATGCCCCACAAATTAGAAGTAACCTTGGTTGCTTAAGATTAAACCTCCACTAATATGGGAACTTGCACTCGAAATAAAGTTCAGAAATTACAACAGACATATTTCTCTCACATTTGAGCTTGGAGACTAATATTCTTACATATTTTCTAAAAAGAATATATAACGAAGTTGTTTCAGTACCATTTGATAAGGAACACATCTTTTTTGCTATAGTTCTCAATAGCTGCTCCAGAGGTAACCAGACCATATCCAGCTACTTGAGCTCCAGCACCCCTCCTGGGATGGTCTCATCAGCAATGGCAAGGGTGACAGGTGACTGTACCTTATTAACAGTAATGACAATTCTGGCAAGGAAAGCCACTTGGGACCACTTTCCTGGAAGAGTGACTTGGTCTGTGGCAGGCACTTAAGGATTTATGAACTCTTTAGAGATGGGGTATCCTTGGTCCATGAGGCTTTGGGGAGAGAGGAAGGACATTTAAGTGGATTAAATTTCATAATATAGAGTCCCATTGGGTGATCTGATTAATTTCATATAGGATTTGCTGAGCATTTTTAGGAGAGCATTATTAGAGATTTGGCACTGTATATGAGGGTTGGGGGACTTTGGGGGTGCCTACAAGATGTAGATTTAAAAACACAGGATTGGTGCAGAGTGGAAAAATTTTAATTTGATCTTTGCTGCATTAATAGATTGAGGATGGTGAGATTTCCGGTCTTCTTGGTGAGGCCGGATGACAGCTGAAATCTTTTGGTTCACATTTTAAGAGGAACAGATAGAAAATAGAAAGCAATCAAGAAAGTGAAACCACGTTATATGAAAGATGGCTGAAGTATTTGGGAATATTTACCTACCAGAAAGAAGGCTCCAGGTGACACTACTGCCAGCTTTAAATATTCAAAAGCCTGTCACTCGAAAGAAGGATTACACTTATTCAGTAAGGCCCCAGGCTAGATCTAGGATCAGTAGGAACGAGCTATAGAAAGATAACTTTTAATTTACTACATACAGCAGGCAACTCAAATAGAGATGTCTGAGGATAGAATGGGCTGAGTTCATGGTCAAACAAGGAATTCAAGCATAGGTTATCAAGAATATTACAGAGACAAGGAGGTGCAGTGTAGTAGTCAAGGCTCAGAGATGGAATTGAGTTCCACTTTTGGCACTTACCAAATATAGGACATATAGCAAATTGCTTCATTTTTTTGCTTTAGTTTCATAATCTTTAAAATGGATATAATAATGTCTACTGCATAATTGTTGGCAAGGGTTAAATGACATAATTAACTTTAGTCTTTAGTTGTCTAGAGAGGGAACGTGTGTGTAGGTGCATGTGTGTATATGTGTGTGTGTGTGTGTGTGTGGCATTTCTGGCCTTCCTAACCTGAAGTTCTCTGATTCCAAAGTCTTTGGCAGAGAAAAGTTGTAAGAATGAGCTATTCTTCTGCATTGCATAGGTACTCCCCAGTATTTTGAAATGGGCTTAAAAGTCTTTGAAAGTGCTCCAGTTTGTTATGAAATTCTTTGTTTTGATGTGGTTTTCCCCAATCAAAATTTCAGTTTATAAGAGGTAGAAAATATTTGACACTTACTCTAGTGCCACCCAAGACTGAAAAATACCCCTCACTTTGCTTGTGCAGAATGAGGTATGAGGATATTTTACCTAGGAGTTGAAAAAGACAGAGAAGGATGAGCAATCACGATTCGGGCCCCTGGTTAATAGCATGATTTGATTGTGTTTACATATCAGACTTGTGTTTGCGGTCCTCTGAGCCTTTGTGCACGTTTATCAAATTGCAAACAGCACCATTTATGCACAGTTGGTGATAAAGCACTACCACACAGCTGAATTGCTCTCCCAGTGGAAGATGATTATTTCCCAAGATAAAAGCTGGCTACCTGATGCCAGAGCAATTCATCAGTTCAATGACAAAAAAAAAAAGGAAGGAAAAATCAGACAAATCCCTCTTTTGGTGTAGCGTAGGGTGAACAATTGGTTGATTGACTGGGTTTTTGGCTGCAAACACAGCCAAAGCAAACCTAAAACAGCATGAGGTATTCATGGGAATTTTCATTTATAATATAATTGTTTCTGCTAAGCTTTCTTTTTGGTTTCCAATTTGCTCCCAAGTTAACTGTGGAGACCGAAGTGAAGTGGTTACATCATCATTAAGGGGAATGGGTTTGTCTGCTAACAGGAATTGTGGTTTTCCAATTTGATGGCACTGTGTGGTTTTTAATGATAACTTCTATGGATGGCGGAGGTTTGGTTTGTAAAAAGGGAGAAACTCTATCCTGAAATCAATACTCTTCAGAGGAGACATCTCAAAATCTAAGAGCAACTGCCCTTTGAATTTTGTTTTTCTAGCCACAAGTAAGGTGGAGTGGAATATCCCTCAGCTTTGAAGTCAGAAAGAACTCATTCATTTGTTCATTTACTCAGCGTGCTTTCATGGAACTCTTTGTTTATTGCCAAGTACCATGGTAGGCTCTGGGAATTCAGCAACAGACTGACAAGCTATTTCCCCCATAGACATTACAACTTAGTAGGACGGTGGAGGTGGAGGGACTAGACAATCAATATTTAAATATTCTTCAAGTCCTGGCCTCTGTATTTTCTATTTTTGTGACCTACAGTAACTTATTAACTTACCCAATGGTGCCTCATGCATAGCAGGGCTCAGCGAGTGATAGTTTTCTTAACTTTACTTCCTACCCTATACGGCCCTAGAAAAAGACCAAACTGGCTGCGTCTCAGTTTTGGTTGATGCCCTGCTTGGGGCCAGAAAAATGAAGATCCTTGTTATCCCTCGGAAGTGTAGGTAGATCCTGGATGAATTGGCTTATTGTCTAAGGTTCCCGTGAAGGTCTTTCTTTTAGGTCCCAGAACTAATCAATCTCCATCTTGCCTTACCAAAGAAAATACTTCCAGATGAACTACTTTCAACCCGTTAATGCTATTTTTTAAAATCCTACTGCACATAGCTTGTCTTGACTGTGGACTTATTCTACCTTTTCCTGAATTTCCACCAATTAAGGTGTTTAAGAAAAGCTGTGAAGGGTAGTGGTCCTTGTAATCACCCTCCAGGAGGTGGAGCTTGTTTTGGGGTGCTGTTAGGACGACTGTGTGGTTGCCTTGTTAGAGACTGGGACATGGAAGAACAGATGGTGAATCTATTGACAGAGAAATAAATATCATTATTAATTAATAATTATAATTTTAAGTGCAAACACAGTTTATGAAGGATAAAAAATGTAGTCCACAATGCTGTTTCTCAAATAAAATATGTTTGGAGTTCCAAACAATTGAATTGAAAAAATTTTTGTCCTACATACAGCCCATTGGGAAGTTGAGGGCATGAATAAAATATGAATGGAACGTTCCCTTCATCCTCTCCTACTACCCTTCCCTTGCTCCAGGTACTTCTAATTTATATTTCATTCTTAGTATAGATTTCTTGTGTGGTACCCAAATCTTTTCTCCTTGAAAACTTAGTAAATCTATATTATCCAGCAGAAAAAAATATTAAGAAATGTTTTAAAATATTGACAAAACTCCCACTCTCCCCAGAAGATGCTTCTTTTGCTCTGGCAGCTATCAATCTAGTTCTTTAGTTGTGCTTATAGGACAAGATGCCAAAAGGAAATCTCAAGAAGCTTGGAAGAGACAAGAAGGATTTTCATTGAAAAAGGCAGAGTTATTGGCAGGAGGGAAAAAAAAAATCCAGAAAGGATAACTAGGAGGCAAAGATTCTATTGGGAGGGACCTTGAGAGCTTGGAGGTGGGTAGGAAAAAGATTTTGTGGGCAGCTGCCATGTATGCGATACACGGAGAGAATGATAAAGGAAAGAAAGAGGATTTTACAAAGTTTGGCTCTCCATTATAAATGTAATTTACTCCTGGCCTTCTTTTAGCAGAATAAAGTAAAGATGTAAATTACATTCCAATTATTCTGGCTTCTGGGTAGATCTTTTTTCTTTTGGGCATGCAATTGTAAGGAGAGTTGGGGGCTCAGAATGGCTTTATGAAATTTAACTTTGAATAAAGCATTGAATCCATTCATTTTTGTTCTTTAAAACTCCCTGTTTTTCCAGGTATCCTTTAAGACATTTCTTCAGTGTTGGGAAGAAATAGCAGAAAATCCAAGGGCTTTCAAGTTAGATAAATCAGAGTTGGAATCCTAACTCCTCACTTGCTAGCTGTGTCTCCTAGGACAAGTCATGTCACCTCAACAAGCTTCGGCTTCCTCATCTATAATATGGGGTTAAGAGTACTACTCTGTAACACTGTTGTTATCACGGAAACAAAGGGACAGTTAGCAAAATGTCTTGAAAGGACTGGGCTTCACCAGTCTGAGTCCCTTTAGGAAACAGATGGCCCATTCAAATTAGGAAAATTTGAAGGAAGTGTACTAGCAGGACTATTTTTAAAAAATGAAGTATAGGAAGGGTATAGGAAATTGCAAAGGACAGTGCAATACTCTGGGGCTACCAGCTTCACGCCTGAAGGACTGAGTAGAAAGAGTGGACCCAGGAGATGGAGAAGCCTGTGTAGAGAAACCTACCAGAGAGCTGCTGAGACCTTCTGTGGAGAGATGTGGTCAGCCCTTGGCAACCTCTGAGGTATCGGGAAATGAATAGGGCAGCTTCCATCCTTTTCTCCTTGTCTCCTTCCAATTCCTCCAGGGTCCTCTATTGGCCAAACCCAGCTTGAAGCCATTTGGTAAGAAAGTCCACTAAGGTCACAGGAGGTGAGCCATGGAGCAGGGTGGAGAAGGATGGAAAGTGGGGCTGAGGGCAGATTGAACACATCCATCAAGCTCAGTAAGTGTTATTTTCCTTCTCCTTTTTTCTTTCCCTATAGCATGGACAAGAGGGTATCTTACCCATGGAAGAATAAGCACATTGTAGAGCTGTTACTAGTCTCTGAAGGACTGTGCTTTACATGTGAGTTCTATAGATTGTGACACAACACAGACATAGCTCTAGAGCTGGAAATGAACACATACCAATCTTTATTTAAAGGACAGCAGGAGAAGCACAGCTGGTCTAATGCCTGACTCCCCATGAGAATGATGATACAGAGAACTTGCTATGCGGGTCAGAGATAAACAGGAGCTCTAGTTTCAACAGTGGCTTTTCAAGTTTGCCTCTTGGCACGAAACTGACTCTGGCAGAGGGTGTCATATAAACAGGGCACAAGCCCAAGCATGTAAGCCAGTCACAACTTAGATACATTCTCACCCTCTAGCCCACAACCCACAGCTAGATGACATAGCTGATGGTAGGGTATCCTTTCAGAGAACATGCTATGGACCACTTGGAGCTTTTCAAAATTCGTAAATGAGTTGAAGAACCTTTGGGAAAGAATGCTTTGTCATCACTGGTGGTACAGATCTTTGATTGACAACATTTGTAAAGCCCCTGACCTTTGGATATATAACTATTCTCCTAAAACAAAACAAAACAAAACAAAATGAAAAACTCCTTTGCTGCCATAGTGGGCTGAGTGGTGGCCCCCAAAATCATATATCCATGTCCTAATCCCCAGAAGCTGTGAATGTTACCTTATTTGGAAAAAAGCCCTTTGCAGATATAATTAAGTTAAGGATATTGAGATGAAGAGATAGTCCTGGATTATCTGGGTGGGTCCTAAATCCAATGCCGAGAGTCCTTATAAGAGACATACAGAGAACGGACACAATGAGGAGAAGTCTATATGAAGATGGAGACAGAGATTGATGTGGCCACAAGCCAAGGAAGCCAATGCCACCAGAACCTGGAAGAGGCACGGAATGGATTCTCCCTTAGAGCCTGTGTATGGAGTATGGCCCTGGTTGTTGACTTCTGGCCTCCAGAACTGTGAGAGAATAAATTTCCATTGTTGCAAGTCAACAAGTTTGTGGTAATTTCTTATAGCAGTCCTGGAAACTAATACACCTCCTATGAAACCATCTGTGTTCTCACCTTGACTACAAAGCAGTTCGAGTCTTAGCAGCTTGAAGAATTATGGAAATAGTACAGAGATCAAACATCTTGGAATAAGTTTCTCTGAAGTTTACGAGAAATCGTCTTAAATCCTGGAAAGCTGTCTATCTAATTTACACCTTAAGTGCTGGCAAAAACATCATTAAGTTGAAAGAGGCAGAAGGAAGAGCATGGGAGGGAGGAATGACACGTCCTAGATTCTGGTACTGGCGTTACTCCTCGCTGGCTGTCTGACCTTGGAAAAGTCATTCAGGCACTCCAAGCCTCGATTTTCTTATCTCAAAAATATCTGTCCCACTTACTTTACAGACTTGGCAAGAAGATTACATTATATATGTTATTACCCATCAAACTGCAAAATGTTATATTATACATCGTGTTATTCAGAATATAAGCACAACATATATATTTCTTGAATTAAATTGGATCCTACTAACTCAGAATTTGCAATGATTCGGAAGAGGGATACATAGGAGTCAGGAAATCAGAATTTTAGTCCACGCTCTGTCATGAAGAAACTTGGACAAATTGTTGAACCTTTTAGGGACACAGTTTTCACAATTGTTAAGTGAAGGAGTTGGGTTGGATAATCTCTAATGTTGCTCCCATATCTCTGATTCTATAACATTTTAAGAAAATGGTGATTAGTAGGATGAGACCCTTGGTGAGCTTGTTCCTTCTGATGGATTAAATTTTCATGATGGATTAAATTGCACATGGTTGGCCCCAGTCTAGGACTTCACATGGTGCAGTCGTGCTGTTGCTTCATCTCTTAATTACATTTATCAAGGAGAAGTAAGCCTTTTCCCAGGATGCATAGCAAAAGTCTTGTAGCATCTCTTTGGCTCTGATTGGCTGAAATGTCCATCTCTGAACCAATCACGATGACCAGAAGGAATTCAGGGTGCTGGCTGAGTTAGGTCTGTGTCATGTGATTCATTGCTAAGGCAAGAATACAGCCCCAGTGTGCTGGAGCCAATTGATTGTAACATTTCAGTAATTTTCTGAGCTAGTTGCTAAACTCTTGGTAGCATTAAACTGGAAAGGTGGGAGTATTCACACCACAAATTAGGGCTTTATTTGTTTATTTTGGAGAGCTGGTTTACTAGCACTCAACTGGGTATAGTCCTGTCCAAGCAGAGTAGCAGAGGGTAGGATCACCCCTCAAAAAAAGGAGGTTGTTATCAAAATAAGGCGAAGAAATAAATGCTGCAGTTGGCAAAAAGCTATTCATTAAACCCTGGAAACTCAAGATCAAAATATCCAAAGTTGAGCTCTCTTGTTCCTCAACCTGCCTGGTCTCATGGATTTTCTGTCTTGATTGGTAGCCATCACTCCAATCACACACTTAAGTCTAAAATGTGATATTTAATTTTTGGATGCTTTTCTTTCTCTCATGACACAATTAAGCCTCTTTACTATTTTTCAAATCCATCTCTTCCTTTATTGTCACTGCCCAGTATGCAGATTTAAGCTTGTTTGATCTCTCCCTGGGCTATTTCAGGATTCTCCTAGTTCGTCTGCCTGCTTCAGTCTTATCTTTCTCAGATCCATCGGCACATCACCACCAGAGTGAGCCATCTAAAGCACATCTGACCAGGTCATTACTTCTTCCTAAATCACCTTCCATTGAGTAATGGATAAGGTCTGTGGTGGTTTCAAAATACGTTCACAAATTCTTCAATATCCCTCCCTTTAAGAGGTGGAACTTAGTTCTCTCTCCTTGAGTATGGGCTCAATGAATAGAATATAATGAAAATGATGATGTGTAACTTCCATGAGTAGTTCATAAAAGGTATTACAGCTTCCTCCTGTTCTCTCTCTTGGTTCATTCACTCTAGCGGAAGCCAGTTGTCATTTTGTGGGAGCACTCAAGCATCACCATGGAGGGGTCCACAGAGCAAAAACCTGCGGCCTCCTGCCAACAACCATTTTGGAAGCAGATTCTGCAGCCCCAGTGAAAACTTTAAATGACTATAGTCCAGGCTGATGTCTTGACTGCAACCTCATGAGAAGTTCTGAACCAGAACCACCTAAGTGACTACTGAATTCTTAACTCATTAAAATTATGAGATAGCAACTGATTATTGTTTTACACTGCTAAATTCTGGGTGCAGCAATAGATAATCTGGTTTCAGCCTACCATTTTTTTCTCCATCATTGAACTTACCACTTTTCAAAAACATATAAGTCTGTCTTCTCCATTATAGTCTGAGATTCCTGAAGCAGGTATAGTAACTCCCCAGTACACTGCTATGTCCCTCTGTAGCAGACTGTATTTCACAAAGATGGCTGCAATGATAGCTCCCATCCTAAGAGCTCTTCTAGAACCTTGCCACTTCCCCATCAAGAGGTGGATTCTATGTGTCCTCCCCTGGAAACTGGATGGAACTTTGTGACTGTCTCAAACAATAGAGTAGAGCTAAAGTGATGCCATGTTACTTCCAAAGGTAAGTCATATAAATGCCATGCGTTTCTGCTTCTCTCTCTTTAGACTCTTACTCTTGGAATTCAGCCACTATGTTGTGAGGAAACCCAAGCAGTCTGTAGACATGCCCACATGGAGAGGAAGCATCTGGAGAGAAAGCAAGGGCCCCAGGTCCCAGCCAGAGCTGAGCTCCTAGGCAAAAGCTAAGGCTAACAAACCGTGTGAGTGAACCATCCTGGAAATGGATCTGCCAGCCCTTAGTTGAGCCTCCCAAATCAACGCAATGAGGATCACAAATGAGCTGTTCCTCCTGAGCCCTTCTCAAATTACAGATTTGTGAGGAATATGAATGGTTGTGCTTGTTTTAAGCCGCAAGATTTTGGGTTAATCTGTTATGTAGCAATACATAACTGGAACATCTAGCCCTGTGTCTGTAATATCACAGGCATTTGACAAGTATTTGTAAACTGGCTGATAATCCTGACTTCCCCATAGAGCTTCTTTCAGAGCACATTGATACACTTGTTCTTCTTTAAACAAACCTTGAGTTTATCTGTTTCGAGACTTGTATTCAAACTGCCCCTTGTGGGGTGTATTACCTCCTTACTTTCTGTGTACATTTGCCTGCTCCAGTCTTACGCTTCTGAAAAGATCCAGATGAATTCTCCTTCCTTTTCTCTCTCCCTTTCTTTTTTCTTTCCTTCCTTTTAATGAATACGTCATGAGCATCTGCTGCAAGCTCAGGATATCATGTAGAGCGATGTAGACAAAATCCCCATCCTCTTGGAGCTTTACATTCCAATGGGGGATCCAGTCAATAAACAAATACATAATTTAAACAATTACAGAGTGTGATTAGCGCCTTAAAGGAATTAAACAGTGTATAGTAATAGAGAATAGAGTTGGGGGTGGGAGGGAGCGGGCAGGAAGGGGGCCCTATTTTTAGATGGAGTATTTAGGGAAGATCTCTCTAAGGAGGTGACATTTGAGATCTAATCTGAACAATAAGAAAAATAATGGCATCCTGGGCAGAGAAAACAGCAAGTCCAAAGCCGTGAGGAGGGATAAAAGTGTCTTCTGTTGGATGAAATAAAGGAGGTGTTTATGGCTGCAGCATAATGAGTGGGGTGAAGTTGATAGATGAAGTCCGAAAGATAAGCAGGCACCAGATGAAGCATCCTCAGAGCTACAGTAAGGAATTTAGATTTGGTTTGATTCTAAATTTGGAAAGTCTTTAAAGTAGGGTGGTGCCATGTTCTGATGGGCATGTTAAGCTTACTCTTGCTGCTGTGCAGAGAATGGAGCACAGGTTGGCAGGAAGAGGTGCAGGGAGATCAGTAGGAAGAACCAAGCACGAGATGACGGTGCCTTGGCTTAGGATGGTGGCAGTAGGTATATAGAGCATAATGTGCATATTGGGGAAAAAATTGTAGTTATAGCTTATAAGATCTGCTAGTGACTTAGATGTGGAGGCTGAAGGGAAAGGAGGATTTCTGGCTTTGGTAAGGGGTTTGCATTTTTATTGTAAAGCAATGGGAAGCCATAGAAGGTTTAGCAGGAGACTATACCCTCCAATTTCCTCCTCCAAGAAGTCTCTCTAGATACCTCTTGTTGGAATTCATCTCTCCCTCCTCTGTGTATTTATGGCCTGATGGTTTTGACTCTTACAGAGAAGGTAGCATAAGGTAAAGGGTAAAAGCGTAAGGAATTTTGGGACCAAACTGATGTGAATTGATCTGGGTCCCTTTTCTACTTCATGTGGAATGTATGCATGGACAAATCCATTGAACTCTGTGGCCTCAACTTCTTCAAATGCAGGTAGCATCTACATTACAGGTTCATTGGGTTCATTAAATGAAACACTGGAGGAGGAAGATACAATTTAGGGAGGCTGGAGAGAAGGTCTAGCTTTAAATTCAGAGGAGTCGCAGTTAAAAATTAATTATATCTAATATTTATGGAGTGCCTACCATGTGCCGGATACATTCTAGGGGTTTCACTCTTCATAACAAGCTTGTGACTTGGTTACTTTTGTTATCTTCCTTTACAAGTGAATAAATAGAGGCACAAAGAATTTAGAGGTATATCCCAGGTCATACTGCAACACCCAACATGTTTTTCCAGATCCGTTTTTCTCCCTGTTGCTCTCAGACAGCGGGCAGTGGTGTGTCTTGCTCACAATTCTCTCCCTCACCTCTGGCACATTGCAGAAACCAAATTCATACACGCTGGGTGAGCGAATCTTCAGGTGTTGACTCACATGACAAAGTTTGTGTTGGAGTGATGGTGTACTGGCTTTATTTGAGTGGGTCGATATGGCTGAACTTGGAGCGTCCTGAGCCAGGCTAGCTTGGGAACCTGGTTGGCTCCATGGTGAGGTCAGATCCCCACGTGGTCCACCACTTCTGCCCAGTCCATAGGATGATGATATTGTGCCAAATTTGCTTGTGCTGTCTAGTTTCAGAAGCTTAGCAATAGCACAATAAAACTTTTATATTAGTGCGACTACTCAGGGAATGGTATATTCCGACTACTGAGGCAGAAAAGAAAGATCCTTTGTTTAAGTCCTTTTGGAAAATCTCTGTAAAATGTAGTAGCCATCTGCTCTGCTTTGGTAAGGACTGTGAATGAATATGCTTTTTGTCTTGAAATTGAAAAGCTGATGATCCTTATATCTTACAGTTATTTCTCGTCTTTATTCTAAACACGATTATTTTGGAGGGGAGAACGTGGGAGGAGATGGGGCTAAAAGTATTCGGAAATGAGGCACTACCTCGAGATGCTCATTTTAAAATGACATAATGATCTGGACTTATTTTCCCTCAGAATTAACCTTTTTCCTTTAAAAAATGGAGTGATGGAAAAAGGGGAAATTAATGAAAGATTCTGGTCAAAATCTTAAAGCTTCCTTCAAATCTCTGATTAATTTCTCCTCTAAAAAGACTAAAATAATTTTACTTAATCAGAACCGTACTTGATCTGTGTGGTTTAGTCTATGTAACTTTCCACTGGGCTGCAAAGTCCAAAGGAAGAAGGAGGTTGTCACTGATGAGGGAAGGGTGGAGAACGGATTGTTCTATATCCCTCAACGCGAGTCTTGAGTGGATTTACCACAAGAGCAAAGTGCACTGTGCTGGTAGGGGACGTGATGTGATTTTAGCAGGCCCTAAGAAGGTCCTTCTGCCAAAAATAGACCCACCTGCTTGTGGATGTCTGGCATTCCTTTGACTGGGGACAATGCCAGAAAGGCCAGCTGTTCCCTCAGATACTCTTCCCACAGGCTGGCTGAGACCTGACATTCCAGCCTTGAACTTAAGGCTAAATTTTCCTCCACAATCTACCCCAAAGCACGTGCTTCCCTCTCCCTCCCCAACTCTAAAATGAAGGTGTTAGCAGATATTTACACTGCAGTATGAATTAGAGAGACTTGTGCAAAGAAGAGAAATTATGCAAGTGGGAGAATCCTCCCTACTTGACCCTGCAGCTTTGGTCAAGTCCTTAACTGCTTGTGCTGCAGTTTCCTCTTCTATAAAATAAGAATAAGCCAAATGGACTGGACACTTAGGAGGCTATATAAGACAAATATGGACTAATTAACCAGCCCTGGTGATCTAGTGATTAAAATTCGGCGCTCTCACCACCACAGCCAGGGTTCATTTCCCATCAGGGAACCACATGCTCATCTGTTGGTCGTCACCCTGCAGCAGCTGCGTCTGCTGTGATGCTGAAAGCTATGCCACCGGTATTTCAAATACCGGCAGAGTCGCCCATGGTGGACAGGTTTCAGCAGAGCTTCTGGACTAGACAGACTAGGAGCAAGGACCTGGCCGCCCAGTTCTGAAAAAATTGACCATGAAAACCCTGTGAATAGTGGTGGAGCATTGTGTGATATAGTGTTGGAAGGTGATAGGATGGCACAAAACAGACACGCAGGGTTTCACTCTGCTCTACACAGGGTCACTAGGGGTCAGAATTGACTCCATGGCGCTAACAACAAAGAGCACCAATTAAGAAACAACTCAAATGTCCATCAAAGGAGTCTAGTTAGATAAACTTGGAGCATTCACACAATGCCGTATTATGTAGCTGTGAGAAGGAATGAGGAAGAACTCTATGTACTGATATAGAGCGATGGCCGGGACAGACTTGTTGAGTAACAAAAGCAAAAGTGCTTATAGTATGCTACAGTTAAGAAAGGGGGAAAACAGGAAATACATATTTGTTTATAATTTCAATAGCAGGATAAACCAAAAATCCATTAAAAATTGGATGGAGGGAACCAGAAGAAGGGGAGATAGACTTTCCTACAAACCTTATTTTATTTTTTGACTTTGGAATCATGGAAATGTCTTACCCAATTAAAAACAAAGTTAAATCAAAGAGAAAAACATGCCAAAACATAACAGGTCCTAAAAAGTTTAAAATAAACTGGAAAAAATTTAAATCTTAATTTATATCAATTCTGTGGCATAACCATCTCAAGAATTATTTCAAATGATTTTAAAATACATGTTTGGATTGTACATCCCTACGAGGATATATCCTAAGGACAAAAAGAAGTGCTAAGACATCTTGGACTGAATTCTATTGACCAACTGTTATTTGCATCATTATTTTGATATGTACATTATTATTTTGAATAATAATATATA